TTGTGATGCTGAGCAAAAAGGGCAACAGTCACTTGAGGCAGGGGTGATCTCAGCCCTTGGGAGGCAGAGGCAGGTCAGTCCTTGAGTTTAAGGTCAGCTTTGAGTTCCAGGACAGCTAGGGCTATGTAGCAATCCTGTCTAAAAAACAAAATCAGCAGGGCTGGGAAGATGGCTCAGTTAAGAGCACTGAATTCTCTTCCAGAGGTCTTTTACTATTCAATTACTAGCAACCACATGGTGGCTCATAACCATCCACAATGAGATCTGGCGCCCTCTTCTGGTGTGCAGGCACAAATGCATATATAAAAATATAAATTTAAAAACCAAAAAACCATTTGAGACCAAGAGTTTGTGCAAGTTAGCAAGACCTTTCTTGCTTCCAAAGGAGTGGATGGGTGGGCGGTGGCAATGTAGCTCAGTGGTGGAGCACCTGCTTAGCTCAGAGCTGGACTGGGGCTAATTAATACAAGCCCAAGGACAAACACTACCGTTTGGAAAAATTCTGTCTGTTCTATGAAGACACTGGATAAATTGTTTTCCTCCAACCCTAGAGACGGTGTCTTATGTAACCAAGGCTAGAATTAAACACAGTATAGGATGACCTTCAATTCCTTGATCTTCCTGCCTCCATTTCCCAAGTGCTAGCATTTTAAGTGTGCTCTTCCAAGGTCTGGTGAGGATGCTGGAGGTCACTGGACCCCCTTGTCCATCTTCAACTGTGTTGGGGGATAAGAGGCTATCCAGTTGAAATGTGTGCTGTGGGAAGAAGTGTTTCCGGACACAACTCAGGCAGGGTGGAAAGCCTGCCAGTGGATGGGCATGTATGCCCACTTAACCTTACTTGCCCCAACAACATTTTCCCCCCTTAATGCAAGAATTACTTGCATTTCATGACTTTGGAACCAAAAAGACCTGACTGAGTCCTAGATTGCCATGTAATAGCTTGGACAGATAGAACTATGTCTCTGTGGTTTTTTAAGGGTTATGTAACTAGAATGTCAGTGACGACAGTTATTTATTTTACAGGTGACAGTTCAAACCTAGATTTCAGAGGGCAAAAACTGAACAGACGTTGAATGAGCCTCCTGGGTTCTTCCTCCTTCTTTTGGTTGACTGCCCTCCCTATTTCTCCATACTGTAAGGACAAAGCAAGTTGTTCCTGACATCTGATGCTGGTCACAGATCCGGCCTTTGCAGATGAAGCAGATTTCATCCATAGCTAGTACCCTTGTAGTGTAGCACCACCTTGTGGTCACTGGTATAAAGTCACTCTAGACACATTCACGAGGAAGCTGGTAGCCAAGGAATCTTGATAGCAAGTCTCATCACAGGCCCAATCGAGCTCCAGGTACCGGGCTATGCATTCACCATATGTATTCACCATTATGAAATCCTTCAGGCGGTCTGCCAGTCTTTCCAGCTGGGAGGGCTGGCCTAGAAAACTCCGTTCTCCTGCCTCCAGAGTGCCGGTGTTGCAGGTGTGCTGGAGTGTCTGTCACATGTAGTTAGTTCAAAGCCAGGACTTTTTAACACCTCATGTGCTGGGGAACTGGGTGGGGGCTCGGCATGGTACAAGAGTCAAACCCAAAGTCTTCACATATACTGGACAAACGTAGCACTAAACTACATCCCCAGCCCTTTGTTTTGAGATAGGATCTCACTAGTTTCAGCAGGCTGGCTGATTTGCCCAAGCCTCCCAGGGATCAGGGATTACAGGCTGGTTCCTGTTAAGCCCAGGTAAGGACAAGCCTGCCAAGTTCTGGGACTCCTGGAGATGGCTCTACTCTCCAGGGCAGTTCATGGGCCAGGACGTACACTTAGAGAAGAATGTCTGCTTATTTTCCTTTAGTTCTCATTGGGCCTCATGCCACCTGTGGCGTCCTGTCTCACAGGCTCTAACACCATGTTTTCACCCTGCCCCCCCCCCCCCCCCCCCCCCGTCAGCTCCTACACCCACCAAGGTACAGTTCCATCAGGGTGGGACTTCGGCAGATGCGAATTCCAACTGGCACTCAAGTTGCCTATAGGGAAGCTGACATAACCTTAAATTCCACCATGGCATTCATCCAATCTGCTGGGCCTGTCTGGGAGTGTTGTGGTATGAGAATGGGAATGGGGAACGAGATGGCAGCACTGCAGGCCCAGACAGGCAAGGGCCGCAGCTCACACGTCCTGCCCTTCCAACAGCTGAACCTTAATCAAGAACACCGCCTAGGCATGCTGCAGGAGAAACACCCCCTCCTTTGCTGCACAATGTGCCTGCCTCTTTCCAGAGGAAGACTGGTTTAATCCGAGAACTTTCTGGGACAGATGAGAAAGCACTGAAAAAGCAGTGATGGGTAAGAGGGAAAAAAAAAAATCACAATTAGTGGTCAGTTTTCTTTGAAACTGGAAATAGCAAGCCATGTACAGACTATTTCTCAACTACGCTTAAACTCTCAAAGAAAGGCAGGAGCGCTGGATAGATGGCTCAATGGTTAAGAGCACTGACTGTTCTTCCAGAGGGCCTGGGGTTCAATTCCCCGCACCCACACTGTCTGAAAATCCAGTTCCAGGGGATCTAACATCTTTATACCAATGCACATAAAATAAAGTTAAATGAACAACGTCTATGTTCCTAAACCTTTAAGGAAAGAAAAGAAATATTGTTATAAAGATATGTACCAACCACACCACACCAGATTTACTTTTAATGCATGCACCAGGTGCCAGCGGAAATCAGAAGGCACCGGATTCCCTAAGACTGGAGTTACAGCCTGTTGTGAGCCACCATGTGGGCACTGAACCCACACACTTTCAAGTGTAGCCAGTGCCCCGCCCCTCCCATTTTCCAAGATGGGATTTCCCTGTTTATCCCTGGCTCTCCTTGAACCTGCCTCTGCCTCTGCCTCCCAAGTGCTGGGATTCAAGGCATGTGCCACTTGGCTTGCTTACAGCCTTAACTGCTGAGATAACTTACTCAGCCCCCTGGGCTATTCTTTCATTTTTTGAGACAGAATCTTGCTATGAAGCCAAGATTAACCTCAAACTTGTACCACCACAGGACTATGGGACCTTTTATAGGACTCAAAGGGAAGTGGACATAGAATTAACTTAAAAATTGGGACTAGGGGGGCTGGAGAAATGGCTCAGCGGTTAAGAGCATTGCCTGCTCTTCCAAAGGTCCTGAGTTCTATTCCCGGCAACCACATGGTGGCTCACAACCATCTGTAATGGGGTCTGGTGCTCCCTTCTGGCCTGCAGGCATACATACAGAAAGAATATTGTATACATAATAAATAAATTAAAAAAAAAAGAATTGGAACTAGGATAAAATATTGGCTTTATCACCAAAGAGCTGCTAATGAAGGCCTTCTTACCCGTTAGGTGACACAATCTGTCTCCATGGAGTATAGGAATGATTGAAATATCTTAAACAAAAATTCAAAGCTGAACACATGCACATTCCCTTCTGGCATGCATGTAAAAGTGGAGAAAGGTATAAATTAGCTTGGCCCTAGAGAGTGGAAGCTCCTATAGCATAACCCTGGGATTGCAACCTCAGCTATTCTTCATTGACATGGAGAGAATCACTAAGGCTGAGCATTTATTAGGCATGGCTAATCTAATAATGGGAGAATTCAGTCTCTGTAGTTCAGACTTTCCTAGGAACATTCCTAAAGAATCTCAAGCACACAAAATATATTCTTAAATATGGTTTAATACTCTTCTCCATTTCTGTACATCACAACACCGAGATTCTGCTCTTAGGGTCTCTCTGCAGAGGCTAGGGAGTGCAGGCTACGGTTTCACCCCTCTCACGTATGTGTTTTTATGCGGAAGTGTAACACATATCGGTATATATTGATACACACATCAATATATAATGCAATATATATCACCAAGGAGAACACATTGATTAAAGAAATACAAAAATTTGGCATCATTTCCAAACTTAAATAGTAAAAATAAAAACTACAAAAGGAGCTGCATACCCTAAATGTATCATGTGAAACAACAAGCATATTCAAAACTGTAAATTTACATCTGATTTCTCTGGTCTTGTCATATCACATTAGACCCATTTACAATGGCAAAGCCCTAAGGTACTGTTGGGAAAAGTGTGTTTGCTTGCTCTTGGGTGTTCTGCAAACAAACAGCAGAGCCCAAAGCAAAAGCCTGTTCTGGTGAAGCCTGCCATGTTGGTGAACACGAGAGAATTGACTTCTCACTGGGGGTTGAGACATCGGGTTACACGACAGACAGTCATTTGGACCTCAGAGTACAGTGTGAGAACCAGAAGCTTTACATTTAAGACATACTCCCTTCATTCAAGTGAAACAGGATTATTGGAACGATAGGCAGGTCTGTAACCTGGGAACAAGGAGCTGGTTCAGACCAATAAAGCTACAAGTGACTGAGTCAAGTCAGTGAAGAACAGCAGTCAGGCACTAAAGTGTTAAAAGTACCCAATTTGAAACCCAATGTACCCCACCACCCTGGTGAGTGTGGGTGATACCAACTGACTTTAAAACCTTTGGTCCTTCAAAGTCCACTTGGTATGCTTTCCCCATTGCTGCCACTGGGCACATCCTACACTTCCTTTACTGTCACCACCTTGAGCACAACACGACCTTGTACTTCAACTGGGCTCAAATCCAACTTACAGCCCAGCTGTGAAGCATAAGCTTCAGGTTTTCGGCCAACTTTTGGATCTAACATGGTTTAATCCATGGTGCCAGAAGCTGTGTCCCATCCCTCCCCCCCGCCCTTCCCACCCTCCTCCCATACTTTCTCATCTGAGAGTGCTCTAAGTCCCACTTGTGAAACAGATGCTCCAGCCCCACCAGGGGTCTGAGAAACATGCAGTCATACATGTCTTGTCTGTTGTTCATGTGAAAAACCTTGCAGTTCATTTGGAAGAAAAAAAAATCAAAACACATAATCTCATGCCACCCAACACAAGGAAACATGACCACCTCCGTTTATCAAGAATACATCCAAGCAAAATCATCTTTGCATTTTTTTTTGGTTCCACTTAAATTGCATGTTTTATTTCTCCCAATCCCAGCAATAGCACAGAAGCCCCATCATGTCCATCCCACACTGGTTCCTACTAAGCTGAGACAAAAGGGAGGAGCTTCATTAATGTTAGTGACACTAAGGGCTCCCAAATCCTTGGCACAAATGTGCCTCCAAAAAGATGGAAGCCAAGAATGCGCTGGCCCCAATGTTTCAGCACTCAGTCTGACTTTGCAACACAATCTGCACCTTTGAAACAGACAGTCTGGGAGTGGGAAGTGTGCGGGAGTGAAGCTGAAATTGCCTCCTATTAGCTCACCCTTTCAACATTAAACAGAGACCAAGAGAGAAACAGTTCCAATATTTCACCACATATATTTCTTCTTGTGCAGTCTAAGCTGAGAATGCCATGTAAATGGGTCACTGCGAAATGCAGCAATTTAGTTATTCTCTGATCAAAATAAGAAACAAACCAGTATGATCTCACTTCTACTAACTTTTGAAGGTTTACAGCAGTTAAAGTATTTTTGCTTCTATGTATGAAGGTTAAAAAAATCATTTTTTTTCATAAAATACAAGAGCAACCAATTTTACCATCAAGTAAAAGTAAAAACTGGGGTTCTTTTTTAAATTAGTCCAGTGGCATTTAGGACTTAGTTGTGGCTGCTGCGCTGACTCCATGACAAAGTGTAGGGTTGGGTCTGGTTTTGTTTCGCTTTCTTTTCAGTATCCAATGCTCACGGATTAAGTTCTGGAAATGTTCCAATTGTAAGGCAGGGATCTGTTTGGATTCCACCACGGGTATGCTCCTTGGGTTGAATGCTGGAGGGTGAGGCACATTTTGCCGGACCCATGTCGACTACCTAGTAGTCATCAAGGTCAAAAAATTCATCGTCTCCTCCTTGGTATTCCATTCCCTGGAAATCTACTCGGTACCGCAAGATACCTGAAGAAGCAAAGCAGAGTGAGTGATCTGGGTTCTTGAAGCAGGAAGGATTGCTCTTCCAAGAGAAGCCCATCTTCTTCCCAAATTACAAAATGGCAATGATTAGGCATGGTGGCTCACAAATACAAATTTCAGTGCTTGGGAGGCCAAGGTACAAGGATTGCTCAGTTAGAGGCCAATTTGGGTGGCACAGTGAGTCTCAGACCCACCCCCTCAAAGAAAACATAATGGAGAGGGAGAAGTGGAATAGAGAATAATAATGCATGTGCTAAACCTGATGCCATTCCATTCCTGGAACCCACGTGATGGAAGAGTGGACTCCCAGTTTTCCTTTGACACCAGAGTGTTTGTAGACACAAAGCTGTACTCCCCAAACAAACACAGGCCCAACAAGATGGTTCTGTAGGTAAAGGCACTGCTGCACAAGCAGATGCCCAGGACTCACAGGTGGAAGGAGGGAACCGATTTATGTAAGCTGTCTGACCTCCATATGCATGCCCCACACAGAAACACACCAAACAAAACCCCAGAGATTAAATATTAAATACATCATGTACATGCATTAAAAAAAAAAAACATGCTAGTACAAGTCTTCAGTCCCATTAGTCCCACGACTTGGGAAGAACAGGCAGGCAGATCTCTGAGTCCAAGACCAGCCCAGTCTACAAAGCAATTTCCAGGACTGCCAGGGCTACTCAGAGAAACCAAGTCTTGAAAAACCAAAGCAAACAAACAAATCACAAATACACGATCCATTATTACACATAAATATATGCTAATAAAAAACTTTTTTGGTTCAAACTAAGGAATATGCCTCCACCTGCTGTTCCAACCACCTTTCAAGTAGAGCGAGCATATGCCACTTGAACTAACTTATTTCAGGCTAGCCACAAGAGGTCCTGGTTAAAAAAAAAAATCCTGTTTAGAGTTTGCTACTCACCTCCAATTCCACCAAATCCTTTTACAAACTGTGATCCTTCTTGTGACTTATCTGTGACAATTTCTAGTGTAGCTCCAAATTTTTTATAGTTGTTAGCAAACCATTCCAAAAGGGGCATGCTCTCAATCAATTCATGTTCTTGTCCAGTCTATAGGGCAGTCAGGACACAGAAACAATGGGATCAGAACACAGAGTTTAGGACCCTCAATGCCCCAGCCCATCTTCACTGATCCTCTTACCCACTGAGTACTATAAATGTATAATCTTAAAAATATCCTGGTTCTTGGGAACATAACTGAATAACTGAGATGGTTAATAAACTGATTATTTCAGTATTTTCCCTCAGGCTGTAGCCTCAGCAATAAAATGTCAAACTATACTTAGTAGTCTAATGATTCCTATTGTTGATTCTATAAACTAGGTTGCTGTAGTTCCTCTTTATTCAACAGCCCAGAAGAGACATGGCAGATTAAAATACAAAACAAACAAACAAAACCACCACATTTGTGCCTGCTGCCCAGGAAGTGGAATTATAGACAGCTGGGAGCTACCATGTAGATGTTAGGAACCAAACCCGGTCCTCGGCAAGAACACGTGCTCTTAGTTGTTGTACCATCTCCTCAGCCCCTGTCAGCCTTGTTTTCAACAGCATGCAGTATGTATGTATATGACGTCAACATGCCATTAGGCACACGCGGCCGTCAGAAGACAAACAGCTGGAGTCGGCTCTCGGGCAGCATGTCCTCTTCCTCATCAGCCCAACTCAAAACTCAGGGCAGTTGCCATTATAGCTGTCTTGGTTAGGAATGTAGCATTCATTATTAACCACGGCAATGCATTTATAAATTTAGTTAAGTTCAAAGGAAAAGCTGATAAAATGTTAATAAAACAAAATAGGTCTCACAGGGTGGGACAGCGCTACTCAAATTAAATCTACGTTATTTCAAGGATAAGAGTGTTTTCCTGATTTCTTAACCTTTTTTGGCTAAGTATGGTTTGACATTTTGTTGCTGAGGCCATAGCCAGAGGGGAAATACTGAAATAATCAACTAGCTACCATCTCGTGTAGTTGTAGCTAGCTGGCCTTGCACCCAGAGTGCGTCTGAGATTACAGGTGCACACCACACCCAGCCCTTACTAACGCGACCCCTCCCCTGGAGTCAGATCGCGTGCTCTAGCACTCATGCTTTCGTATGTTACCCTTACAAAAGGAACTCAGGTTTACATACCTCTTTGTCTGTGAAGTGAGACTTATCCTTCTCTTGTTCTGGAGTTAAATAGAGAATTTTCTCCTCTGTAGTATTAAAAGTTAAAAAAGAAAAAAAAAAGTGTTATCCTGGCTCTCACAATACTAACAGAATAAGGAGATAAGAACAGGACTCCTGAACTAAATATTCCCATAAACACCCCAGTATACAGCCCTTGTACTCTGCCACTATAGGGAAACATCCAAGACACAGCCCCGTTCCTTGTCAACTTCAACTGCGAACAGCCATCAAATAGATGGGGGTGGGGGCGGCAGTAGCAGGAATACAACATGGACACAGACAGAGACACAACATGACACATGATCCTAAATCCTATGCAATTATATGCTCCCTTCTAACTGCGCCTGAAACCAAGGCTTCCCGAACACAGAGAAATGTAATAGACAGCAACAATTTTTTCATCTTTTTTTACCTTCTGTGCCTTGGCAATGAAGAACGTATCTCATTATATCCAGATTTTCATAGACTATTAAAATCTCTACAGCTCCCATTTCCAAAGCCTTTAGTGTATCTTCAACTCCAAAACAGTACTTGCCTGTGTCCTGGCTAATTTCATCAAAGTATCGCCCTGTGGATTAGGGACATAACAATAAAATATACGGTGGCTCTTGATATCCATGAACTTAGTCAACTATGGATTAAACACGCAGAAAAGTAAGCACAGCATACCAAGAGGTACTAGAGAACTAAGCATGCAATGGTTGTTTTTTTTGTTTTGTTTTGTTTTTTTTCTGAGACAGGGTTTCTCTGTGGTTTTGGAGCCTGTCCTGGAACTAGCACTTGTAGACCAGGCTGGTCTCGAACTCACAGAGATCAGCCTGCCTCTGCCTCCCGAGTGCTGGGATTAAAGGCGTGCGCCACCACCGCCCGGCCGGTTGTTTTTGAACATACAGACATTTACTTGTCACTGTAATCTAAATAACATATGGTTACTTATATAATATTTACAATATATTAAAAGGTACATTATTTATATGACATTTACAAGGTAGTGTAAGTAATTGAGAGATAATTTAAAGTACATGGGACGATGTACATGTGCTATATGCAAATTTCTCTAAGGGCCTTGCACAGCTCTGGATTTTGTAACTCACAAGGTTATGCAATCAGTTCCAGCAGTCCTGATCGCTATAAAGAGAATCCCACTTTCAGTCCCAGGCTTGGCAGCTGACCCATCACAGCGAGCCTGTTCCAGTGTCTAGCTGTTCATGGCCTTAGGCCCATGTGGTTGAGGAAACCAAGGGTTTCTGGATCATTTCTGTTGAGCTCCTAGGTCCTCCCGAGTCACCCTTTTAAGGCTGGTGCTGTACTTTAGAGTTAAGGATGACCTTGAACTTCTGATCTTCCTGCCTCTACCACAGAGTGCTGGGATTACAGGCTCCCCCTAAAGTATATTATACTGGTGCTGTGAATTGACTCGAGGGTCTTGTTGAATGCTAGGTAAGCACTCTATTTACTGAGCCACTTCGCCACTGGACCCAGCCCTCATCCCAGAATCTCACCTTGAAAATCAGGCTGGTTGGAACTTGTGGCAATACCACTACCTCAGCTTCCTGAGTGATAAGATTACATAGACATGTCCAGCTAATACTTTGTTTTTAAAGATGTATTTATTATGTAAACAGTGTTCCGTCTGCATGTATGCCTACAGGCTAAAAAGAGGACACCGTATCTTATTATGAATGATTGTGAGTTACCATGTGGTTGCTGGGAATTGAACTCTCTAGACCTTTGGAAGAGCAGGCAGTGCTCTTAACCCAAGTCATCTCTCTGGCCACAGCTGATACTTTTTTTCCTCAGTGAAAAATCCTCTGGAAAAGGAGGCAGTGTTCTTAATCACTGAGCCATCTTCTCCAGCCCCAGCTGATACTTCTTCCCCCTCAGTGAAAATGTTTAGTTTTCTATTCTTTTACTTTTTTTTTTTCACTTTAGCTTTGTTTGAGACAGACAAAAGCCCTAAAAGCTCTTACGGATGACCTTGATCTAAGCTCAATCACCCTAGTGTGGGGATTTCTAATATCAACTACTACATCTAGCTCTTTCTTTCTCCTTCCCTTTTTTGAGGGGTAGGGTGGGGTGTTTTGAGACAATGTTTCTCTGTAGCTTTTGAACCTGTTCTAGAGGGCATCTGTAGACCAGGCTGGTTTCCAACTCAAGAGTTCTCTGTCTCTGCCTCCCAGGTGCTGGGAATAAAGGTATGCACCACTACCACCTGATTTTTCTTTTCTTTTTTTAAAGACAGGGTTTCTCTGTGTAACAGTCCTGGCTGTCTTACTCGCTTTGTAGACCAGGAAAGCCTCGAACTCAATAAGATCGACTGTCTCTGCCTTCCAACCACTACCACCACCACCTGGTTGCCTGGATTTTTTTTTTTTTGTTTTTGTTTTTCCTTTCTTTTCATTTCCAAGACAGGGTTTCTCTGTAGCTTTGGAGCCCATCTTGGAACTAGCTCTGTAGACCAGGCTGGTCTCGAACTCACATAGATCTGCCTGTCTCTGCCTCCCCAGTGCTGGGATTAAAGGCATGCACCACCACCCCCTGGCTTGCCCTTTCTTTTATACCTTTTTAGTGTCTTTCTTCAGACATCATACCAAAAACATTTCACAGGATAAGCAAAATAGCATTTCAGTGATACCTATTAATTTCTTCTCTTGGATGAACTTCACGTTGGAGAGAACTTCAGTAGATAATTCAATGGCTTGGTTGAATCCATTTTCACCACCATAGGATATATCAACTAATTTTAAAACTTTCGATTGCAACCTCTGACACAAATAAAAATAAAAACATTAGGACCTTAAATACCTTTAGTAAAATTCCACTCTCTCCCTTAAAAAAAATAAATAAATAAAAAGTTATTGGCCACCAGGAGCTGGAGTTACAGGTATTTGTCTGCCATCTGATGTGGGCACTAGGACCAAATTTAGGTCTTCTGTAAAAGCCGTGTGTGCCTTTAACCACTGAGCCATCGCTACCCAGAGATTTTTTTTTTAATACTTAGGGAATTTATGGCTAGGAATACAAACACACGCATAATATGCTGGGGACGAATGTACCCCACATTAGAGACTCTATCCGGCTGTTTCTTATTTCTTACCTGATCAAACATGTCAGACTGACTTAGTTCAGTTTTAAAGTCAGCTGATCCAGCTAAAACCAGACCAGCCACATTTACTTTGTCTCCAGAAATAAACAGCTGCACAGCAGTCTCTGCTACTTTTCGAACATAGTTATGTCGCTTTTCCATTCTTAAACGGGCAAAACGCAAGGCTGATTGACCTCCTCTGCCTTTGATACAAAAGTATGGGGAAGAAAGGGTTAAAGATTAAAGAGTACAATAGGCCATGAAGTAGAAACAAAATAACCAGTCAAGCTACAGAGGAAAAGGACCCCCCCCCCCCAACTGTTTAGTACAAACTGAGCTTCATGACTACTGCTAGAGGGAAGCAAAAGGACTCAGGCGCTCCTCCTACATACCGTGTTTCTTTGGGAGATCCACAGTGAATTTGTGCAGGACTTCTCTGGTGTTTCCCTGGAGCGTGCCAAAAAGAGCACCACTGCCGTCTATTACAATAAAACCAAACTTGCTGTCATCTGAAAGTAATGCTGTAAGAGCCTAAAAAACAAACACAACACTGTACAATGAACTCCAGGGTTCTGTCAAGGCAGAGACAAAGTTCAGCGACACACGAGCTCTTACACTATGGAGGGAATGGAGTAAGTACGGACATTAGCTATGACTATGGAGTTTCCATCTGCAGGAGACACTTGTTTACAGTTACAGGATTAGCTCTGGGATAAGATGGTGCTCGTACACACTGAACGGCACAACTAAAAGCAGTTAAGGTGACTTATCTGGATTTCACCATAATAAAGAACTGATATATCTTTCATTCTACTTTAATTAATGAATAAGAAACCTTTATAAAGATGTCTAGAATGCAGGCTACTGAATTAGCAATCTATTTTTGGACAAATGAAACAGTAGTAAGATACATATATTGTAAATTTGGTGTGATGGCATGCCTTTAATACCAGCACTTGGGAAGCAGAGGCATGAGAGTTGAGTCCAAAATGCTAGCCTAGGTTAGACAGCAAGACCCTGTCTTAAACAAAACAAAACAAGAAAATCAGGTTTTGGGATTCACTTGTAACACTTGTAACTTGTCTTCAGGTGGAAAGGATCAGAAGTTCAAGGTCATCCTTGGGTGTACAAAAACCTTTATTAAATTTATTTATGTATTTATTCATTCATTCATTTTTGAGACAGAATCTCTCTACAGCTTTGGAGCCTGTCCTGGAATTCACTCTGTAGACCAGGCTGGCCACGAATTCAGAGATCCGCCTGCCTCTGCCTCCCAAGGGCTGGGATTAAAGGCGTGCGCCACCACCGCCCAGCTATGTTGAGAACAGTTTGTCTCAACAACTAAACTCCAATAGGGGCTGAGAGGGAAAGTGGCTTGGTAGGTACGGTGCTTGCTATGCGTAAGGACCTTAGTTTGTATCCATGTAAAAAACTAGGTATGGGTCAAAGTTGGGTTTTGAGGGTACTAGAATCTCCATCCTTACCTCTACTAGTCATTTTAATGATTATTGGAAGAACAGTAAAAATCAGTTATGCTAATGTAATAACCAATCTAAAGTCAGACAATACAGCTATTGGGTACTTTTTAAGTCAGAACGATCCAAAATCTGCTTTCAAAGTTGATATAAGTAAATCTGTCAGATAGAATCGCTAACAGTTCCAAGCGGCCTTTGCCAGGCACTAACTTAGAAGCTAAGAAAAAGTTATGCTAGACCACCATACAGTCAAGCAAGATTCAACTGGGATTGGAATTCCTGTCACGTTAGCAAAAATCAGCCACTGTAAACTGCAGACAAATGTCAGTTCTAATTCCACTGCAGAGGGTTTTCTCTAGGTTGATGAAAGGCAAGAGACTGAACTCGGAGCCAGCTGTGAATTCCTGATTGCTCACTGCTGACTGATCTGGGTCAGTCTAATGAGGTTTCTTTTCCACCATTAATGTTCATCAGAGTTAGCACTCACTCGGGTTTTATAACAGGAAAAACAAAAAACAAACAAAACCCAAAACAAGCATCAAATGCATTTTATTTGCTTATTTTTGAAGAATTTGTGAACTTAGTGCTAAGGTGCAAGAATATAGGCCAGCCAGAGGTAACCAATCACCTGCCTCTAATTCGTTTTCCTTAGCATTTTCCTCAAACATCCCAATGAGCAGTATCATAAAAAACATGCATTATTCTGAAAAGAGTTGTGACGGAGGATGTCCAGATGGAGTGCCCAGCACTTCAGAGGTGGAGGCAGGAGGATTAGGAATTTAAAACCAGCCTCAGCAATATACACCTTGTCCTCCAACACCAGCACCCCCCACACAGAAAAGAAAAGGAAAAATACTTATGTAAAAAGTTGCCTATGGTTTAGAAAAGTGATTTCTCAAAAGATGAACTATGATTACTATCTGAGCTACCAGTTCTATTTCTTTCTACATATATAATCTACAAAAAATAAAAGAAATGGTTACACAAACAAATCCCTGTGCATGAATGTTCAGTGGCATTGTTCATGAAAGCCAGACAGTGAAAACCACCCAGACATCGATGTATACCACAGAGTGCTCAATGACAGAGTGGCAGAACAGTACAGAAATATGCTACCACACTAACAATCTTGAAAAAGGCTAGACTGTACAATTCCAATATAAGAACGTGTAAGCCAAACTATTAATAGAAAGTACATTAGCAGTGGACTGGAGCTGCAGAAGCTGAAGGAAGGACAGTAGCCGCTAATGGGCATGGGGCTTCTGTGCTCACTCTTACCTCTGTATGAAACTTGTTGTCACACAAATACAATGATGTATTAATAGGTTTGAAAGGTTCAAAGTCAATGTTGACTTTCTTTTCCTTTCCTTCTTCTGTTACAATCGTTCCACAGTAAACAACCAGACCATTTGGAGGTACTGCAAAGAACATAAACAATTTCTCTACTTTTAATTGTTCCCATAACCATAACTTAAATAAATCAGAAAAACCCTTGAGACTCATAGGCAAAATTCTCACCCCATTTGCAAAACTTCCTCTGAGATGTTTCAGTAGGATTTATTCCTTAAGCACAGCAAATAGCACTCAGCGCTCAATGGATGAAAAAGCTAAACATCAGCTAGCTGAAGACACAGCAGTAAGGCCCTACGGCAGGAGCGGAGCAGAGCAGGCAGAGCGGACAGGGAAACGGTTACCTTTGTTATAAAGTTTGAGTCTCTGTTGTACAGATGTGATGGCTCCCAGGACTGAAAGGCGGTTTACTCGTGACTTAATGTTAGAAGCAGTTCCAAATTCGTCTGCTAACATCTTTGCCACTCGTGAAATCTGGTCTTTGGGAGGAATGATCAGCGATATCATGCTCGTGCCATTGCTGGAGAAGAGAAACACCAGTTTAAATTCATGTTTACCACCAGTAAAACGAGCTACGGTGAGGCGCTCCAGAAATCATAAAAACACACCATCTAAACGGCACTAGAAAGGCAGTAAGCACATCAGTGCATGTCCCAAAGAAGCCTAACAAAAGCCAGCAGACAGCGCAATTACTTCAAAACGGAGATTAGCCGAGTAATGAAGGCACTCAAAGGGAAAACCTCATATTCAAAGACGAAGAGAAGAGGTTGCTGTGGAGGACCAACAAGCTGGAATTTTACCATGAATGAAGCCTGTCAACAGTAGAGGCTTAGGTTCTGGTTGTTCTTCAGTGGGAGAAGCTATGCCAAGATAACGCAACAAGTCTTCCGGTGTCCAGACAAATATTTCACTTAATATCACCCTTTCTCCTTAAATTCTAGGTTGCCACAAAAATCCTCAAACACCAATTCAGCATACCCAAGGCTTTCTTGATAGGAGAGTACGACAATTCACAAATATCCCAGTTATGAAACAATTTGTATCCTAATATTTTGTGCTTGGCTCCCCCCACCCCCTTGAGATAGGGTCGTTCTGTATAGTTCTGCAGCTATGTAGACTACAGAAATCCTCCTATCTCTGCCTCTCAGAGTGCTGGGATTAAAGGGGCATGCTACCAAGAATGTGTTTGGATTACACTGGTTTGACTCAAACATTTTACAGAAGTCATACAGGGGCAAAAGATGGCTGGGTAACTGAGAGAGCATCTTGTTTCACTATCATGAAAGCCTGAAGCTGAGTCCCAGAAGCCTTGCAACACAACAGGTGTTCTGCACATGCCTAGTAACACCATCTCCAAGGGCGGTAGACAATAAAGTCTATCACATAACATGCATGTACAAACACACAAATTAAAATTTTAGAAGAATAACTCACTGAGAACCTAATTAAGTATCCAAACAAATTCAAATATCAAGAGCCAAAAGATGACCCAGGAGAATACCACCTCTTTAACCCGTACTTTCAAAACACCACCAGCAGCAGTTACACCTGGTTTCAATATTTCTAGTTCTGTTTTGTCTAGCATGCATGAAGTCACAGGTTCAAATTCTAACACCAAGGAGTAGTGCAGGGCATGTCAGCAGCAACATAAACCAGTTTTGTAAGTTGAAAAGAGTTCTGAAGACTGGTTTACAATGTGAACATACTCATCTATAATGACTATACACATGAAGTTGATTAAGATGACCAACGCCAGAGAGAGAAGCTTCAGCAGGTAAAGGCATCTGCCACATGCAAGCACTAAGGAGGCTCACAGGTTCAAGTGGAGATCATCTCAAATCACAAGTGGAGACTGATAAAGAAAAATACCCGATGCCAGCCTCTGGTTTCCTTCCAAACATGTGTGTGCACACACGAACACCCATGTGTGTACCATACACAAAGATAACACATAAGATAATGTGTAAAAATCATGTAAGATTTCTGAAAAGATTACATAGAACATGTAAACAACTCCCAGCACTCAACGACAAAAAGACAACCCAAATTAAAAACCAGCAAAGCCTGGGCATGGGGTATGTGCAGGCAGATGATCTGAGTAGGAGGCCACCTTGTCTCAAAACAAGCCTTACACAAACAGACATAACAAAAGCCAGCGAAGGACATAGGTCAGTGGCAGAGTGTTTGCTAAGCAAGCACTAGGTTCAATCACCAATACAAAATAAAACTGGAGCCGGGCGATGGTGGCGCACGCCTTTAATCCCAGCACTCGGGAGGCAGAGGCAGGCCGATCTCTGTGAGTTCGAGGCCAGCCTGGTCTACAGAGCTAGTTCCAAGACAGGCTCCAAAGCCACAGAGAAACCCTGTCTCGAAAAACCAAAAAACAAACAAACAAACAAAGAAAAAACAAAATAAAACTGGAAAAAGGGCTTGAATAGACATTTTTGCAAAGACCACAGAAAGGCACTGTGGTCTGCCATGGGTTCCCTATCTGGGGTAAGCAAAGCTGTGTGTGTTCCATCTCCCCAGGAAAAGCTTTGACATACAACAGGAGCCTGGAGCAGTGACTCAGTGGTTCAGAACACCTGTTGCTATCGCACTGGACCCAGGTTGGTCCAGTGCTCAGCACGCGAATGGCAGCTTGCAATTGACTGTAAGTCCAGTTCAGGGGGATCTGGTGCCCTATTCTGACCCACACATCTATTCTGATAAACACTTATACACATAAACCTTGAGAGTAATAAGGCATCCAACCTTGGTTTCTGGTCTCCACATACAGAAGTGAATGAAGCCCCACCCACAATTTAGAAAAGAGAAGTTACAGGATGCAGAAAAATAAAAGCTCAATATGTCATAGGTGTAATATGGGATGATCCCAGCAGGCGGGATGGATCAGTGAGTAAAGGTACTTAATTGTCAAGTCTGATGACCTGAGTTTGATTCTTGGGACTCTATGTGGTGTAAGGAGAGAGCCAATACCCTTAGGCTGTCTGTCCTCTTATCTCCACATGTATGCTGCGGCATTCATACACCCATATACATAATTCAAATGAATTTTAAGACAGATTGATATTCATACCAGTTTAAATTATAGCAAATAAAATCAATCATAAAAGACCACATGCTGTCTAGTTATTTCTACATACATTATTCAGAAAACAACTAGATAGGTAGGTGCCATGGGAAGACTCTGACTATGAAAACAGAAAAGTGGTCATAAGCATGTGCTGTGCAAAGTTTTACTCTTTTAGCTTTTTTGGGGGCCCACACCTGGCTCACAAAGAAACACAAATGGATGCTTATTCTTTCTCATCCATTCCCGGCCTGTACTGGCTTGTTTCTTCTTTCCAGCTTTTCTTAGGTTATACAGACTACCTCTGAGCCTTTTCCTTTTCTTACTCTGCAATCTTACTTTCACCGTTACTCCGTGGCTGTCTGGCCCCTGATGTCCTCCTCTCCTTCTATAGACACTGCCCGCCAGTTCTGCCTATCCTTCACCACCTAGTCTTGCTCCTGCCTTGCTCCTGGTCATTCAGCTCTTTATTAGGAGCATCAGGTGCAAACGGATGTAACATGAACAAAATACACCTTAAAATAATATTCTACAACAAGCACGTACACATTTCTTCTCTGTTCTTGACTGCAGAAATGAAGTCCCCGCCTGACTTTCCCGCAATGATGGACCTCAGGCTGGAACCGCTGCTCAAGTAAACTCTTGCTTCTAAGCTGCCTGTTGTCAGGGTGTTTTACATGGCAACCGACAACCAGGACAAGGCCCCAAGTTATACCTTTTAAAAGGGGTATATTTTATGATATGTAAATCACACTTAATTAAAGAAAATCAGTTATGGCTAGGATATAGCTCAGTTAGTAGAGTGCTTGCTAAGCAAGTGTGAGACCCTGGGTTCGATCACCAGCACAGTTGGGGGCAGGAGTAGCAGAAATTCAAGATCATCCTTGGAGCAGGTTCCCACAAACCCTAACAAAAGGCATTGTGACAACAGATGGGTAGGCCAATACACACAGTACAAGTGGACTAGCTAGGAAAAGGAAGCAGATTAGTCTTAGGCATTTGAATGCTCCAGTTGGTGGCATTGTTTGGGAGGTGTGACCTTGCTGGAAGAAATGTCACTGGGGACAGGCTTTGAGGTTTCACAGACTCGGTGCTAGTCCCATTTTGTTCTGCTTCTCGCTTATGGCTGGAGATGGGAGCTGTCAGCTGATCCACTCCACACAGGATTCTACCTCTTGGAACATATAAGCCCAAAGAAACTCTTTCCTTTAGAAGTTGCTTTGGTAGTGTTGTATCACAGCAACAGAAAAGTAACTAAGACACAGGAGGTAAGTATGACCGGAATATTTATGTACATATATGAAACACCTTTAAACTCATTTCCTAGAATCCACATGTGCACATATACACATTCCAGTTTCTAGAGAGATGGCTAGGCAGTTAAATGCACTGCCTTAGAAAACCTAGACTCAATTCCCAGCAACCACATGATGGCTCACAACCATCACACCAAGTATGCATGAATGTGGTGTAAGGATATAGATACACACACACACACCATACACATAAAAAAAAAATCACCCCTTGCCGGGCGGTGGTGGCACACACCTTTAATCCCAGCACAGGGCAGAGACAGGCAGAGCTCTGTGAGTTCAAGGCCAGCCTGGTCTATAGCATGAGTTCCAGGACAGTCAGGGATATACACAGAGACCCTATCTAAAACCATCCCCAAAACAAAACAAAATTATTAATTCTTTAAGTGTATGGTGTTTTTCCTGTATACAAGCCTATCTTGTCTGCACTATTGCATCCCTGGTGCCCTCAGATGCCAGAGAGGGCAGTGAATCCCCTGGAACCTCAGTTCTTTCCAAGAGAAATCAGGGCTCTACCTGCTGAGCCACCTCTTCAGTCCCAAGACAAGTCAGTTTAAATATAAACAGTTTTCTCTCTCTCTCTTTTTCCCTGATGAACAATTTTCAAGGAAGCATATACGTTCACTTTAGAAACCATAGGAATTCTCTTCAAAAGGGCCCAGTTCAAGCTGGGTGAGGGAGGCTCACTCCTTTGATTCCAACACTTGTGAGGCAGAGGCAGGCAGATTTCTTTGAGTTCTAGGACAGCTTGGTCTACAGAACAAGTTCTAGGACATGATCCAAAGCTATAGAGAAACCCTGTCTCAAAAAACAAAAACAAACAAAAACCAACCAGGCTACAGCTCTAAGCACACAGCCTTGTTTACAGGGCAGTATCCTGAGATGGGACTGACAAAGAGCAGAGCAAGGAGAACAGCGGAGTCGATGGCACAGGAACCCAGTCCTGAAGGACTGGAACAAACTGAGCAAACCCAAAATACCTCAAAGCCAGAAAAAAATGGCGTGCAGGACAGAGTAATGACCTTGAGATAAGCAGTTATCTATTTTCCACAAAGACAGGTTCAATTTTGCTGTAAGAACAGCAGGGTAACCTTGCACCCCCTATGTAACATTCCAGAGAAGATAAAGCAGTGG